AGAGAGAGAGAGAGAACGTGCCCGGACATCTGTTCCGGGAACTTCACGTGTTGACTCAAAGAAACGGTGTTCTTTGGGACGTCCCCCTAAATTAAGATAGTAATTAAGGAGTTTAGCCTTCGTTGAACGGCTGTCAGATTCTGATCCCTGCCTGGTTTCACGTTTTTGTACTCTTTCCAGTCAAACGTTACCTAGGCGCACGCACGCCGTTCTAAACTTCTTGGTCATCATCATCCTCTTCGCCCAATCCAGGCGGGTTTTTTAAAAGTTATCCCAAACCATTCCGTGTTGGGACAAAACTGTTACTTCCCGCGGCGGCCCGCTTAGGTGCGCTGTGATTGCGCCTGAGGTAGTGTGTGTGTGTGGCCTCTCCTCACAATTCCTGCTGCCGCCCGCCCGCCCGCCAAACAGCGACGCGATGTTTTGTATGCTTTTACAGGCACAATAACCACAGGTTGCAGCAGCGTTGTGTCTGGTGAGAGGGGGAAGATGCCCGGTGTGTTGCCCGTTGACAGTAATGGACTTTCAAGAGGCACCCCGACTAAAAAAAGTAGACTGTCCCTGAAGTTTTTTCAGAAGAGAGAAACCAAACGAGCCCTGGATTTTGCAGAAGTGCCGGAAAATGAGCAAAAGACTTCAGAATATGTGTGTTCTGAAATGTAAGAGTTTTGTTTTTCAATCACTTTATACCAATGTACCAATTTTCTTTCGAGCTGTGGGTCTTTTGTTCTTTCAGCATGTACAAATATAGACTGAGCTTGTTAAAGTGCAACTATGAGCGCATAGTGCTTCACTTGTGCAAAATCTTATTGCCTGTGTTCTAGTAGAGATCCACACATTACAAAGCATTGTTTTAATTTTTTTAAAGATATATATCACACCCATCAATATATCTGCTTCCTGTTTGTCTTATCAAAGGCAGTTAAATATTACAGATTTCTTCTCTGAGACTGAATCAGTTGCAACCAAAATTGTGTTCATTGTTCATTTTGGTTCCACTGTGTTTGTTTTTAATGTAGTTGGCATGAGGTACCCAGCATATTAACATCCAACTTGTTTAAACTTTAGAGACCCATAGCTGCAGTATAAGAGATTTAGGCTGCAATCATGTGAGCATATTCCTAGGATTTATTCCCACTGAACACAATGGGAGTTGCTTCTGAGTAGACATGCATACGATTCTGTTTTATTAGAGATATACTGATTTGATTCCTCTTGAAAATAAGTGGGACTTCATATTTTAACTGAAATTACTAGATACAGTAGTGTTCTCTATCCAGGTTTATTGATGAGGAACTTTTAGAACAAAAGGGTGGTTTGTCTTACAACTTCAAATTTTGTGGGGAAATTTCTTAAGACTATGATCAATGAATATTAGGGCAGCAGTCCATTTACTTGTACTTTTTTTGCACACCACTAGTAAGTTCCACTAAGAATGTGTTTTAAATCTACTTATTCTATATAAATTAAGTCAACAAATGTTAAACAGTGATTATCTAGACAGTTTTCACAAGACAGACTTTAAAAACTGGTCTAATTATGAACTTCTAGGCCAGTGTCCTGTTGAATATTTAATACACACAGAATTCAAACTGCAGAAGTTTCAGAAGTGATCTAGTGCAGTGCTAGTTGTGTTCCTGATTGTGACTGGCACTGTGGCAGCTTGCATAGTTGCAGGTCTGCATACATCTATATATTGAAAACAGTACCAGCCAATGTAGCTGCATTGTTGCTTCTTTAAACAGAGGATACACTTCTTGGTGAATGAATTAACAATGCAGGATAATGCATAAGAACTATAAAAGTACTTACTGACTTCGTAAATGCCAGCTTGTTACAAATTAGAAAGCTGTTATGTTAAGGGGAAAAAACCTAATTCATACAACGTCTAATATATAACTGGTACACATCTGATAGAAATTGTTTATGTAGAGCACTGGGTTTGGTATCTAGATTCCTCCTGGGTTAAATTGTCTCTGGGATAAGTCCAGCATAATGGATGATGTCAGAAGGTCTGCCCTCTTCTTCTGATGCCTTTTTCCTGTTTCCTCTGTTACATGAACTGTGGTCATTGGCTAGTTAGGCTTTCATGTAAAGAATTTTCCCTGCCATGCAGAGATGGGGAGGGAAATCTCTCTTTTGAATTTGGTCCATGGGCTGGAGGTTTCCATCCCTGAGGTAGAGGCTTACCTGGCCATGATGTAAATTCCATTAATGCATAGTTTTGAGAACTTGTCATTGCTATACAGTACGTGAATAGTAATGAGGAAGCAGTTTGTATTTTTAATATTTAAAAAATTAAATAAGAGTTCTTGTAGTCTTACACAGATTTACTTAGAAGTTAGCCCTACTGAAATCAGTTTGCTTCATTTCTCAATAAATATGTATAGGATTGCTCTGTAGGAAGGCATGTTATGTTACACCTGTATTTTGGATATTAATATTTTTCTTTGTATAATAGTGACCAGGTAGTTCCTGCAGCACGGCCACTTTCACCCGTTCGCATTGAGAAGAAAGACAACATGCTGCCCTTTGTGGGTTTGAACAACCTTGGCAACACTTGTTATCTTAACAGTGTACTCCAGGTAAATTTATAACAAGGATAAAAAGTTACTTTGTAACTATCTCAATTTATACATTGGATGAAATTCTTTAACGAAAGAGCACACAGAAGCTACTGTATTCTTTCATTTTGAAATTTGTAGAGATAACTAATATACCCTTAAACTCCCAAACTGGTACTTATGCTTTTTTGGTAATGCCCCTTTCCATCCTTGTGTCCTCCCATAAAGTATTGTGTTGCAGATTTCAGGTGAAGTTCTGCAGAGTACTAGGAGGAGATATGTGAAAAGTGCATCTGCATGCTGCAAGCCTAATTTAGCCAACTTTAATTTAAATTAAGCTGTTGCACTGATTTCAGTGGAAGCTTTTAAACACTTTTTAAAGGTTTGCAGTGAAACCAGTGGTAGTTGAAAGTGCTAAACGTGCCTAATACATTTAATCAACTTTTCCAGTTCTTAGCATGCAATAAAATCAGAACAGCAGTATATCTATGAACATGAAAACTACAGTTGTCAGTGTCAGTAAACTTGCAGCAGCTTAGTCCCCTAAGGCTTCAAATACAACTAGGATCATTCTGAAAAAATGCATGTGCAGCATAGACCTACCTTCTTATACATATAATTGATGAACACCATTTTACAAACCACTAAAACAAGAATATGGCAACAAGTACAAGGCATTTGGAAATTAAACTCATAAGAGAATGTCACTCTCCAATATAAACAAGGGCATTTATAGAATGTTACTATCCAATATAAACAAAATTTTGAATCTGTTTTTCACTATTTATATTGCAATATAGAACTCAGTGGCTGAAGCCTGTTTTTGTAGGCATAATGTAAAGCTATGCCCATTAAATGTGCAGGGCATTATGCTGAGGCAACAGGGAATTGTGAAGCTCAGTCGCACAACTGGTTGTGCACTTCCCATTGTGACTATTTTTAACACACTGGTACTTTGTAGATAGCATTTCCACTTTGATGCTGTTTTAGCTATTGTAGGTGTGATGTTGAATTACACCCGCTTAGCTATAGTGCTTTAGAGCATGTAAAATATTGTACAGTATATTAAAGTTGGCATAATTCCCTCACATATTTCACGTATCATTCTTAAAAATTCCTGGTCCATTTATAAGTACTAGAAATATGGAGAAAACCTGGATGCAGATATTTCAACAAAGGTTTTATGTCTAAATTTAGAATATTTATAGTTTGATGCAATTAATGGCATCTAAAGCACTGAGATCAGAATTTGTAATAATGCTGTCTCTTTGGTCATTTACTCCAGCTAGCAACTAAAGGCCCTTGATCAAGCTAAATTAAACGTGCAGCGAGATATTGCTTGATCTTCCAATTGCCTAGATTATTGGTTTCCAAACTTGGGTAACCCAGGTGCTCTTGGACTGCAACTCTCAGAAACGCTGGCCAGCACATCTGGTGGTGAAGGTTTCTGGGAATTGCAGTCTGGTTACCTGGGTCACCCAAGGTTGGAAACCACTGGCCTAGAGAGAGGGAGAGAGGAGGACACCATATTTGCCTTGACAAGTCAGCTTCTGGCCCGTTTGCTAATGTTGGGTGTATTTCTGTTTCTTCACTTCAACTTATAATTACAACTGCCACATACAAACATAAATTGATATGCTGTTTTTCATCTGCAGAATTCAGAGTGCCATTCTTAGGGTATTCCATTTTTATTTCCAAGGCCACCTTGTGAGATAGATTAGCTGACAAATAGTAGCTAGTCTGAGCAGGTTTCTAAAGAGGTAGCTGTGTTAGCACACTGGCAGAAAAGTTGGAGGGAGAGGAACAAGGACAAAATATTTCTTGGCACCTTAAAAACCAACAAATATATTTCCACATGAGCTTTTGTGGGTCAGAATCTACTATTCCAGATACATACAGTGTTCATGCTGTGTTCCAAACTTACAGAATTTCTCTGTTCTACCGTAACTTTGTTTCTTATTCTAGGTGCTCTATTTTTGCCCTGGTTTTAAAATGGGAATGAAGCAATTATTTAATATCATTTCAAAAAAGAAGGATGACACTGATAAGGTGAGAATACATTGCCCACCATTATATATCCTGTAAATCAGGAAAAATGTACCATGAATTCAGCACAAGCTAATAAAGTTTTGGTTTATTTATTTCCATATCAAGGGCATTGCTTTTAACCTTATTTTGGAGTTTGTAATCTCAGTGCCTTTATACCGTCATACAATGGGATAATTACAACATTGTTGTTTGTTTTTTCAAATACTATTATTTTAATAGCTGGAGGTGGTGTGCAAAAAGAAATAAGACACAAAAGTGTTATGAAAATGGATTATAACTTAATCTTACTATCAGCTAAAATGGGGAAAAATTAATTTGCCTTTGCAGGGGACCACCAAAGAAAATTCTCATGCAAGCTATGAACTGCTCCACAGTTTACATTCGTTGATTGTTTCACTTGAACAGCTTCAGGCCAGTTGTCTCTTAAACCCAGATAAATACACAGATGAACTTGCAGTTCAGCCAAGAAGGTTGCTGAGCACACTGAGGTATGGATAGTGTTTTAAGGAGCTCCTATATTTCTAAGCATTACTGAATTATATGGTAAGGTGTACAGATCTGTGATTTTGGACTATAGCGCCCAGAATACTGGCAGGTGTCATTCAGAAAACTACCTCTAGTGTTTATTTTTATATGCCACCTTTCTCTCCATAGGGGGCCCAGGGTGGCTCACAATAACTAAAACTATAAAGCAATCCACAGTTTTAAAATAAGTAAGAATTCATGTTTTCAAACAGGTTCACAGACCTTTGTTAAGGCTATCAGATTATTTCCCTTAAGAAATACAAACTGGCAATGACTTTGTGTGTCTATTTCTAGCTGGTTAAAAGGTAGCCTAATGGTAATGTACATTCATTTGTTGAACTGTTCTTTGATGCTTTGTGCCATCTTAAATTACTGATATTAACAATTACAAGACCTTGTCTGTGAATAACTGTATACAACTTTTAATTAAATAATTTTATTAAATTGTAAATTTCCTCAGAAATGACAGCTTGTGACAGTATACATATACATTGTGTTTTACATTTTAGATTTTTACTCCTTGAGCTATTTTGTCAAAGTTATACCTAGTGTGTTCCTAAAAAGGGCTGACTCCTAAGTTTTGATAGATGCTTGTATGTATATATTTGATTAAATGGTATGTTGTCCTTTTATAGAGAGCTGAACCCTATGTATGAGGGATATTTGCAGCATGATGCCCAAGAAGTATTGCAGTGTATTCTGGGGCATATTCAAGGAACATGTCAGCTTTTGATGGAAGAGCTAAAGCACAAATCACCGCAAGAGCCTATGTGCAACCTGGAAAAAGAGACCAAACAGAATAAAAGCAGTAGTGCCATTGTGGAGGAAGGTGGCCATGAGCTGGATGGCCAAGCTGAAAAGGATTGGGCGGACAGAACAAAAGGAAAGGCAAAGAGGAAAAGTGATGTGGAAAGTGGCAATGAAAAGAAAAAATCCAAAGTGTCCCAAGAGAAAGTGGGAGGTGAAGAAGTTCCGAGACAGACTCGGTCAAGGAGGAGAGCACTGGAGGAAAAAGTGGAAAACCATTTTGAACCTTACGTTAATGAAATGAAGATGCAACATGAAAGTGAAAATACAAAGCCAACCCATAAGAAATCAAAGCTTAGATTAAATTGGTTAAAATCTTCCAGTAATCAGCCTAGTATTCTGTCTAAATTCTGTAGTCTGGGAAAGTTGACAACAAGCTTGGGGCTCAAAGAACCAGTCAGAGAAATGGACAGTAGCGACTTTTCAGACAATTCCTTCAAATATGAAAAAGGTAGCCAGATAAGAGGAGAACACTGTGATGCCTCATTTCCGGGGGAAGGCACTGCTGAAAAAGAAGTCGAAAAACAAGATAAGAGAGGTTAGCTGTACAAAAAAAACCTCATGGCTGGGCGGGGGCAAGTGTTGCCAGTTTGCCAATCTGCACATCTTAGCCCATTTTCTTTACTGTCAAGTTTACAGCACAAAATATTGGTCAGGATGTTTTTGACGTTTGCATGAGGTTTGTGTAACTTGCCTCAGCTGATTGATGAGGTGCATCTCAGTTGTACAAATATGAGAGGACACATGACACAGGCATGCAAGCAAGATGTGCTCCTACCCCTCGTCTGTTAGCTGCAGAAGGTTATGCAAACCTTATACAAATACTAATGAGACTCTAGCTATAAGTGATTCTCTGCTCTTAGCAGAAAGAGAGCAAACCATCTGTAATTCCCATGGCTTTCCTCTTGTTTATTACAGAAGGTGGGTTGAACTTATTTTCTGCTTTATTCAAACACGAGAAGCATGGACAGATTTTGTATTACATTTAGTGCTGTAGTACCCTGACTAGGTGTTGGATGCAGGGTTGAGTTAACTAGATTTGAATTGAAAAGTACAATAGGGAACGAATGTTAATACCTCCAAGACAGTGGTTCCCAACCTTGGCCCCCCAGATGTTCTTGGATAATTCCCAGAAATCCTGCCTAGCACAGCCTTCTGGGACTTTTAGTCCAAGAACATCTGAGGACCCAAGGTTGGGAACCACTGCTCTGAGATGAGTGTTGCAAAATACTATATGTGAAAACAAAAGAAAAAGTTAGAAAAGACAAATTTGGTGGCACCTTAAAGACTATTATATTTTTTGATGTAAGTTTTCATGGACAAGTCCACTTCATCAGACATAAAAGAAAGAGAAAAACTGTTCCAAAATAGTTTTCAAAACAGTGGCATTACAAAAAGCCCAACTTTTAGATAAGTTTGAATTTTTGCTGATTAGAAAACTAAAGCCAATAACAAGATAAGGCTATAAGGGTAGAGTTAATTCACATATAATTTCTTTTTAATCTAATGCTTAATAAATAACCAGTGAGAATAATATATTTGTTTTTACATAGTTGGTTGTAAAGATCCACTGGAGATCCTTTTGTGTAAGCAATGGATCTTCTAACTACACCTGAACTTCTGTTTTCCCCTTTGCACTTCAGCTCTTCAAACTAGATAAAGTAGTTGAAAGAAGGGGAGTTTGAAGAGCAGCCTCAGATGCTGCCGTAAGAAGAAGGTATTCAGCAGAAGCCAAGCTATTCAAGAGAATGCCTTTAATTTAACATGGCACTTTCTTTTCTTTTGACACAGAATTAGCTGATTTTGATTTAGTGGAGAGACTCTTCCAGGGTCAGTTGGTGTTGAGAACACGATGCTTAGAGTGTGAGTGTTTCACAGAGAGAAGGGAAGACTTCCAAGATATCAGTGTGCCAGTGCAAAAAGATGAAATTTCAAAAGTGGAAGAGAATTCTGAAAGTAAGTATGACCAGAGTAAAGTGGACTGTGGTATGTCTGATTCATAAGCTTTTATATACCACACCTCGATGACTGAGAATCTTCACAGATATATTTTTGAACTTCATTTTTTTAAAATTCAGGTTTAGGTTAATGTTTTTCTAGTAATCTTGTTAGGAACAAGATGAAAAAGTGCATATGAAACTATTAGCTACTTAAAATGCAATTTTACAGAGTACTCTTTATACAACTGTAGTAGAATCAGATGTAGGCCATTTAGTTCAGCCTCTTGATACAGGATGTGCAAAGATGGAACATCCCTTCCCCCAGTAAGGAAGAATCCACCATCCCCTGAGTAACTCCACTCATGTTCCTACTAGACATGGTAATATTTGTATCCTGGAGGACCCTCCCCCCCCGAAGGTCCACTTACTGTTTGCCACGTGCAGCCACCATACTTCGTGTCATGCCAATCCAGGAAGCAGCCTGGCTGGCGCTTCCCCTCACTGCCAACCACTCCAGCAAGGAGGCGGCACGTCAAATCTCCCCTTCAGCTGCTAAGTCAGGCTTATCCAACCTGTGGCCCGAGGGCCGCATGCGGCCCAGGTCGGCTCATAATGCAGCCCAGTGCAATTTTTTATTTTTAAAAAAAATCCAAAGTTTCAAGTTACAGTGCCGGCACTTGCGACCGGAATTTGGCTGGGGAACGTCACAATGCTGGGGGGGGGGGAGAGGGAAGGAAGGAGCAGGAGGGGAAGGGAGAGGGATGCTGCGTGATTGCATTGCGCCATCCCCGTCAATAGGTGGACCCCTTCCCGGCCCCGTAAAACCACCGGAGTCGAAGCTGGCAGCCTCTGTTGTCTGAGATCGCAGCTGCCGGTAAGAGCGCTTGGAGCGGGGCTGCGGAGGATGGCTAGGGCTGCCCCCCCCATGTGGCCCAAACCAAATTTATGTGCGGCCCAAACCAAATTTTCATCTTCTAATGTGGCCCAGGGAAGGTGAAAGGTTGGACACCCCTGTGCTAAGTGGTCAGCAGTGCATGTAGATGGGGAAGCACCAGCTGGGCTGCTTCCTGGATTGGCGCAAGGGGAACAATTCTGGCCACGTGTGGCGAGGAGTAAGTTCACCTGCCCGTTCGGGGGAGAGGGTTCTGTTTCACCAGGCACCTATGGTGCTGATATTCTTATTCCCCGGGGGAATATCACATGTCTATTACCTACTATTAAGTTTTTTCAGATGTTCTGCTATCCTGCAACTCAAACCCATTCAGTCTAGCTTGCCATCCAGGGCAGAACAAGCGTTTGACAACTGCTATTTGAAAAATTCAATGATGTCTTAGCTACTTCAGGCTAACATTACCAGCTCCTACAGCCCTTCCTCCCAGAATAGCTTTCGGTAAACTTTATCACTTTTGTTTCTCCTCTGAACCAGTTCTGGCCTGTCTACATAAAGTATGGCACCTGAAGCTGGACATGCTACTTCAGTCTATGTGATGTGTATTAACACATAGCTATCAGTTTTGTATAACATGGAAATTATGGTTCTGCTAAGGCACCCTAAAATTTCATTAGCTTTTTTTTCACAGTCCCACACTTCTCATCAAATATTTTGACAATAGGAGTGAATGGGGAAAGATATTACTGTATTTTTCCATGTATAAGACTATACTTTTGTCTAAAATCTTTAAACTATAAATTGAAGGTCATACATGTAAGTAAGCTGAGAAGAGAACAAAAACAAGTGGAGGGGAAAGCAGGGATCAATGCTATCCTGCAGTGCTTTGATCCCTTTCCCCCCACCCTTGCTAAGGCCCACTTAGATTTCTTAAATTTGGATTAGAAAAGTGGGGGGGGGCATTTTATACACAGAAAAATAGAGTACACAAGCGCTTTAGAAGAGTAATTGGGACTTCAAACACTATCATCTCGTAATGTTCTCTATCCTACCATCTCTTCAGCAATTTGTCGACGGCAAGCAATAGCTGTTGCAAGAATCCATACTATAAATTATAGAAGAGACATAGCATTGGAATGTAAGGGCCTGCTCTGCAGGCTTTTAAGGATGGTCTAGAGGCAGCCTTGTTCAATTCTCAGTGCTGAAGTACTGCTGATTTAGTGTTGGGACAAGAAGTGTTTTGGGAGTTTTTAGGTGAAAGTAAAATGTACAAGCTTTGAAATCCCGTGTTGTGTCTCAGATGTAACTTCTCTTTTGTGCTTTAAACACATTCACCTGATTTATTACTGTGATTTAAAATGTTTATTTTATTGAGCTAACTAGATCTCTCTCTTGTAGCTTCTCCAGAACCAAAAACTGAAGTAAAAACTCTGAAGTGGGCAATCTCCCAGTTTGCTTCTGTGGAGAGGATTGTGGGAGAAGACAAATATTTCTGTGAAAACTGCCGACATTATGCAGAAGCAGAACGAAGTCTTCTTTTTGATAAACTGCCTGAAGTCATCACAATCCACCTGAAATGCTTTGCTGCTAGTGGCTTAGAGTAAGTATTGTCAGTAAGCCAAATTAAGAGCTTGTAAGTAGAAATAAAATCTTGCTCAGATCTGTTCTAATAAATATTAAATGGGACAAAGTTATTTTAAAACATGTTAGCCTGTATGATTTAGAAACCTGGAAGATGCGGGTTTATACGGCACAGGGAGCCTTTGCAAGTAGAAAAGGCTTTCCATTTCAGAACTTATCTCCAGCTTATAGTGAGTGAGGGGAAGGGGACAGCATGCTTGCTTTTACCCCCCACCCTCCCATGTATGAGGAAACATCTAAATAGGTTTTCTATGTCCAGTGGAGCTTGTCTTCCAGCAATCATAAAACCTATTTGTTGGCTCGTTTCATGTGAGGCCTGTTACTGCTTTCTGTCTCCAGGCATCTACCAAGGAGAATAGGGTGGTTCTGTTTGCTTCCAAGCTCCACACATTGTCCAGTTCCTTCCACAATATGTGGGAAAGCATGTTTGGGATTCTTGTATGGATGGAACGGTTACTTAGGTACAGCTATATGCATACAGATGTTGTGGAATGAGAGGGCTGCATCTGAAACAGTTTAATTAAGCTTAACAGAGAAATATAACAAACGTTAGACTTGAAAAAATGTCAACCTACACACTGAGTTCAAGTTAACAGTCCCTTTATGTATCTTCATGTCAGTTCCCATTAAAAATAGCAGGTTGTCTGCAGTACTGCTAAGTGTTAAACAAACCTCCATATTTCTAAAAGAAAGTTGTGTATCTTAATTTTATCATTTCATTGCCTTTTCACTGTCAAGTATTTTCTTGTAACTGATGCTTCATAGGGAAATCCACCAATGTTAAATTCCACTTACCTCCTGATGAGTTTTTTCTCCTACAAGTGTGCAACAATTATGCAGAAGATAGTTGTCTAGACAGTTATCCAGAAAGCTTTTTTCTAAAAGGCAAATGTGGTTTAGGAAGTGAAAAGATAATAGCATTTTATGAACTCATTACATTGCTGAAAGAGAACTCATGAATTCACAGGCAAACTGACAGGTGAGAAACTATTCTTTTAAAAACTGACAACAAGCTTTAGTAGGACCCAGGACAGTGAGTCTTCAAGAAAAAAAGAAAAGGAAAAAAAACCCACACTTTTTTTCAAATAATTGTTTCATTCCTAATTGTCAAAATATTGCAGTCCTCATAATGTGAATTATTATAGGGTGTTTTTCAACAACAAACAGTTCCAGTAACTTAGATTTAGGGATTGTTGAAATACATTTGTGGACCTTTTCAAACATGTTATTGTCACCCTCCCAAACTCATTTGTTAATTAAGTCTTAATTGCAAGACCTTATTTTTTTCACTCAAGCAATAGCTGATCCGCAGTTTAGTACTCTGCTCCCTCCAGCAGATGCCCACTTGGCGACAGTCCCTCTGACTGGGCACCTACTGGAGGGGGTGAGGCATGGAACCATGGATCAGTTGTTTGGCTGCGAAACCAACTACACCAAACCAGATGTTCATGCCCTTTTCTACTGAGTGTTAATGAATATACATTGTTGGTTTTTTAAAACCTTAGTTAATAATGTAGCCTATTAAACAGGAAAATACAATAGTAACTTTTAATGTTTTTGTTTAAAAGAATATAATGTGGAAAAATGGTGTTTAACTGTATAATGTTTTTCTCTCAAAGATTCGATTGTTATGGTGGACTCTCAAAGATAAATACACCTTTACAGACACCTCTCAAGCTATCATTGGATGACTGGAGCATAAACCCAGGCAACGAAATCTATGGATTATTTGCAGTGGTGATGCACAGTGGCATTACTATCAGCAGTGGACACTACACAGCTTCTGTTAAAATTACAAGTCTTGATAGCTTAGAATTAGATAAGGATAATTTCATCACAGATGCTTTTTGTAAAATTTGCCCAGAGCCACTTAATGAACGAGAAGCCAGAGCTATTACTGAGGACTATGATGACGGTGAGGTTTCCTTTAGGATTGGTGGAAATGGGCAGCTGAATAAAGGACTGAACAAAAAGAATACAGAAACGGTTGGGCTTCTTGGAGGACAGAAAAGCAAGTCGAACTGTGATTTGCCCATTAACAGGGCAACACATTCTGAGAAGATAAGTAACATGATCACTGAATGTAAATATCATGAATTCAGCCATGCTAAAGAAATCATGGAATTTGAACACTGTGAGCAAACCTGTGCTACTTTTAATGGAGTAGAAAACAAAACAATGCATATAATGCAGAGCCTGAAAGAATATGAGGGTAAGTGGTTACTTTTTGATGATTCTGAAGTGAAAGTCATAGAGGAAAAGGACTTCCTTAACTTCTTATCCCCTATTTCATCATCTACTTCTACTCCTTACTTGTTGTTTTATAAGAAAATTGTAGACTGATGTTACATTATTATGTAAGCTTTTTTAAAATCAGTTTGGCACTGAAGAGCACCTAATGGCATTTCTGAGGCTGCAGAATTAAATTCGTTAGTCTCTGACTCTAAATAAATTTATATCGTCACGTTTTAAAAGTGAATAATTCACCTTTTAGATTCTATACAAAGTAATCTAGTAATGCAAATCTGTATGTATCCTGTTGAATACATGATGTCTTAAAAGCACAGTAGTATATAAAACTACGATACACTACTTGTATATTAACTTCAAAGAAAATAAATTTATTCATATTCATGTCCTTGGATCAATTTGTAGCAGATGATAAAAGTTTTCTCATAAGGAGAAAATGTCTGCCCCCCCAAACTGTGTTTCTGTATACAAGTTGAGATTGAAAAGCTCCATTTACCCCTGCCCCCAGTTCCTCATTTTCTCAAAATAAAGCAGAGAAAATGGGCTGAATATTCATCCCATTACAGTGCTTTGGCTTTTATTTATATTTAAATAATTGACGGCTTTATTGTTGGTATTCCAACTATTTTGTGTTATTTTTAAATAAAGAATTGAGGCTTATGCTTAGAGGTATCTCAGACAGCTGTGTTCTTAATGCAGAAGGTGTAATTTTCTGTTTCATAGAATAAAATAAACTATGCATAGAAACACATAAGATAAAATTCTATGGTGACAAATATGTTTGCAGGCATATTTATCATAAGAGGAGATTTGCTGGTTGTAGACTCTTATTGGATGCATGACAGGTGTCAAATCAGGCTTACTTTTGCTTAACAAGGTCAGAATCTGCTTTGTGAACCATTTCAAGATTTCCTTAATAGGACAATTTTTTTTTTAACACAGTCCTAACAACAATGAATTGTTAAGATTTCAAGCTATAAACTACAGTTTCCAACAGTGTCTTGAACAGTAACAGTACTAACATCAGCATGATCATGTTGAATCGGTATTTTGCCTTCTGCAAATCCTGTGTGACAGGCGACTTGCTGGATCACTGAGGCTGCACACCCTCTGACCCAACATTTTCGATGCAGTCTATAAGGGATTTTAGTCATCTCCCTTTCCATGGCAAGGGGGGGGGCAGTGGAGATCAGGGTGCCTCTGTCCCTCCATCTCTGGCTGTTGCCTCTTGGCATGGAGCAGAAGCAAACTGCTGCCACGTCTGCCACTGTGAACAATATGGTGCTGATCTGAAGCCCAGTTTTAAAGCTAGACTTTTTTCTTTGGACTGCCACCCTGTTTAGAGTTACCTGATAGAATGGTGTTCCTCTCACATGTGTAAAAATCATGGCCAGGCTTCCACCTATACAGAGACCAACCCTGGCTGCTGGATTGTCAGTACTTACCAAGAGAAAAGAGTGAAGAAGAAAAGTGACCACTGGCCCAGGCAGAATGTGAGGATGTTTTATCCTCCACCCATGAGTCCTCCAGAGAGGCTCGGCTCCCTGCTTGATTATAAGTCCATCTCAGGAATGGGGAGGACAGATAACATGACAACCGTCCGTGATGGCAAAACCAAAATCAACAACTACACAAATTAACAACAATACAGTTTTCTTGCAGGATCTCAGTCCATGGAGAAAGAGAAGCATGAAAGGCTGATGCACCATGAAATAAAGTGTAAACATTCAAATGTTTAATGGTACCATTAAAATCATCACTACATTAAAATGGTTCACATATATTTGCAAATGTTCTTAATATAAATTAAATACATGAACTAAAAAAAATTAACGTTTGAGAACGCTATAAATAATTTTTGATGCGTTTAGGTACCTCTAAATATTTAAAAAATGTTTAAAAAACAGTTGCATTGACAGTCCCACCAGTACATTATGTACTGTTACCATGGCCTTTTCAAAAAGTCTTTAAGTCTATATCGGACAAATCAGAAGAAAAAAATTGGCCACTTAATATTTCCATATAAACTACTAAATGTGTGCAAGGTGTCCAAAATAAAGTCCCAAGATTTATTTCGAAATAAAATGCCTTAAAATTTCCAGCTGCTGGTAACGCTGCACTTGCTTGTTCCGTACCTTAAAACTCTTAAGTGCCTTTTTAGCTGCTTAGATGTCAATTTTGCGAAGGCTCATCCTGCTGAAGGAATCTCTGGGGAGGGAAAAAATGAGATAATCCACACAATGAATGGCAAGTCACACACTCATTCTACCACACAAAAAGCATGCGCTTTTTGAAATTAACTAGCGCAAAACTAGTGTACAGTATCCATCAGGGCAGAGTTGACTGGATGGGGCTAGTTAAGGGGTCAGGGCTTGTCAGCTACTGCTCCAAATTGACTGTCAATATGATCTGTCATATTCTGCTGTTCTTTGTTTTCCCTTCCATTTCCACTACCTGAAATAAGGGACCTAATCCCATTAAAATTAGGAACTTCTAAGCACAAAAATGTTCCATTCATGGGAGGAGATCTGTCTGCATCAGTCACCATCTGAACAATCTCTTTGGTGGTTCATGTTGCTCGACGCAGCCATGCACAGAGTGAAATATTACATTGGAAGTTGAGGCTTTTAATTTGCTTTCCTGTATTCTCTTAGGACATTAAGATCAACCACAACCATTAATAACAAATATAAAATAATATTAGAAGGACCTGTGGCAAGCAGCAGGAAGAACAGCCTTGTATAACTGGGGAATTTTTCTATTGATCAGGGGCTGCAGTGCTTCCTTGAGACGGTGGTAATTTCTTTCAAGCTCTCGCTGATATTCTTTTTGGTCCGGACCAATCAGGCTTTTGTTTTTGCGCAAGGCATCTTCACACCTATGAAATCAAATCCAAAAATCCCATCTTGTTAGTGGCCAAGTGTGAAAGACCTACCTTGACAGTTAACAGTAATTTGTCGGCTTTCTTTCACTCATCTTTCAACTTTGATAATAACACTAAATTGTGCTTGTTTGGAAGCAAGTTCTGTGAAAAATCAATGAAATGGTCTATAATGCCAAAACCTTTCTTGCCTCTTTTTAATTTGGTAGGAAAATGCTCAATGCACATGCGGATAGAACAAACTTTGCTTATACAAGAAAAAGAGCATCCCTACATACAGAAGGATCCAAAAGTACAACAGGGTACATGGAACACAGACAGTATGTCTAAAAAGCACTAATATTAGTGTGGCTTAATAAATGCAAATGGTTACTGTGAATGGGAGGGTTCCTCCAGGTCATGGAAGGCATCAGGATGCACTGGATGCCCTTTTCTGGAAGAAGGAGATGCTAAGACAATCCCTCCAGATGCCTTTCATTTTCCTGTGTCATCTTGAGTAAGATTCCTCTGTCTCCCCAGGGAGAAAAAGGAGCAACAAAGACTGCTTCCCCATAGTTCCCCTAGCACAAATGAAGCTTTATTTATCACTGCTCTGGATTCGACCCATAGTGAGATTTTTCCAACTGATGCAGAACTGAACTAAGAAAGCAACACAAAAAGGGCCCAAAGGGAAAGGAGAACACCCAAGAGACACCCACAAAAATCAGCTGCACATCAACTAGGAACCTTTTAGAAGAAACACAAGTAAAGAGTGAAGCCAACACTATACCTTTTTGTGAAGTCTTTGAAACAAAGCCGTAACTTGTTATGGTGACGAAACAGTTTGGGATCGTTGGGTATTTCAGACAAGAAAACCTGTGCAACCTCTAGTGGTCCCTTAATAAGAAAGAAAAATGTTGAGTTTCTTTTCCCTTGTAGGATCTGCCACTGATACCATTAGAAGTACACTGAGGCTTTGATGAAGCACAGTGTTTCTTTATGTTGACTGCTACCCATTAAATGCCTTTAAATAAACAATACCAGAAGTACATGACCATTGAGTAGAAGGGTTGCATTGCCTCTAAAAAGAGAATGGTTGGATTGTAGTTGCTAACAATGAGAAACGCAGGCTAATCTGCTATACAGTGAGAAGAAAGGGTGGCCAGATGCATGCTCCAGTATTTAACATTATTAGTTATTATTTATTAATTTTATATTTATATTCTATATACTCTTAAAAGTCTAAAAATACTGTGCTGGATCAGTCCAAAGGCTCGTTTATTCTAACATTTTGTTTCCATAGTGGCCAGTTGGTTGCTTATAGGAAGCCTACTGATAACACTGCATTTTCTGTCTCACATTTGCCAGCAAGTGATACAATGAGACATAATGCTGTGATACCATAGGTAACATGGAGCAATCCTGGTCAGCAGCCATTCATGACCAGAGTAAAAAAATCTATCCAGTCCCCTTTTAAAGCCAACCACGTTGGTAACCATTACTACAAGCCCGTGGCAATATCTTCGCTCAGTCCTTTTGCATGTAAAAAAATGTTGATATACACTTGTTGAATTAATGCGTATTTCATACAGAAGCCATTTTCTCAGTTTATTAAAACACAACAACAGAAGAGCAATAGTTGAACTTCTATGTCTCTGCAACTCATAAACGGGAAGAAGTTTGAGCTCTTATGTTCTCACCTGATTCACTGTAGTGCCTACTGAGCCCTGAAGCACCATCTGGAGCATCTTGGGATCTGCTGGATCTTGATGGGTAGCAAAAGCCAATTCTTGGGTTTTTTTCTGCATATCCTCAATGGCAACTTCAATTGGCGTCAAAATTATCTTAAAAGACAAAGGCACACCAATCATGATGGGTTTTCATCACAGCTACAAGCATATTAAATTTTAGCTACGCTCCCATACCTAGCCACATTGAACTCAATGGGATTTATTTCCAAGTACACATTCATAGGATTGCATTGCTAATCTTTTAAAGAAAGAAAATGAAGCCTTACAGATGCAGATTACTACTACAGCAACAATATAGCAGACAATTTCAAGGCTGATAGAAGATGGGCAGACAATTACTGCTGCTTCCGTTTCCTACTGAGCTCATTCTAGGACTTGCTTAATTTCTTAGAGCTGAGAAGGCTCTCTATGTTAAACAGAATATGTGAACTAAAATTGTGAAAAATACAAGATGATGACTGCAATGTAATTTGCCTGCATTGTAAGTACGATTCAGGAGGTGAAAGGCAGTTCTTTCCACTGAGTGACTAGAATTGCCTTAAGGGCAATCATCAGCCAATAAAACATTCCAAGGGGCTGGCAACTGAGAATATGTAACAGTATACCCAGGGCAGAACTGGGTTTATCTGAATTGCACCAACATTAAGAAGTGACTTCCAAAAGCGACCTCTCCACATAAATGCCAAATGTGCTGGTTCGTGAAGGGCACAAAACCCACAAATTAGGTTTCTAAGTAAAGGCACAGCTTCCATTAGCTTCCAAGGGAATGTGCATGGCAGTGGGAAGGGCTAATGCTGTTCTTGATGCAAAGTGTTTCCTTGCTGCCATTAAGGTTTAAGGACGGGATATGGACCATTTGTTAAATATCAGAAAAGTGAGCACAGTAATGCATTTTCCCCTTCTATCCTTTGCTCTATTCCACCTGCCGCCCCCCCCCCGCTTTCTCCTTGTTCAGGTGTTAGATTGTAAGCTCTTCATAGCATAGTTCTGTCCCTTTGATTCTATCACTCTTATCTGAAAGACTGTATTTTCCCTTGGAAGATAATCTGAGAAGGACCTTCTCTCAGTTCTATCTCCCTCAGGTGCACATCTGGTGGAGAGAGAAGACCTCTTCTGTAAGCTGCTCTCAGGCTGTGGAACTCCTTTTGAAGAGAGGCTAATCTAGTTCCCTCCCTGATGTGCCTCAAGCAGGTTTTCAGCACCTGATAACTTACTGAGCAAGGGACTTTGAATTGGAACTATATTTTGTTTTCACTTATGTGCTTCTGAATTGCTTTTAATTCCATTCTTGTATTAATATGATCCATTTAATTGTGCTTTAATGCCATAATTTATTGTCTTTTATTTGTGTCTTTGCTCCTACCTTCAATCTTTATAACAAACAAAAAATTAAGATGTACCATCTACATTAATAAAAAACACCCATAGTATCAACCAATATGATTATCACCATCACTGTTTCTTTGTATTTCTAACAGCTTCTTATCTTACATTTACAACAGAACAGAAACATAAAGCTCACCTCCTCCTTGTGAATAACATTTATCCTGGTTTTAATGTAAGGGAAAGCATGTGATGTTGTTAAGATTGTCTTCCTCTTGAACTGTTCATGTAGCTCCCCATGAGCTCTGCCGTCCAGCGTGAAGGGTGTACAGTACATGAATCGTCGGAGGTTGTAATTTTTGTCAAAATAGGTTATCCTATCCTTCATTTCATATGTGTCAAAATAAGGTTCTACATACGTTATTTGTATATAAGCCTGAGGTGGAGAGATGAACAAATAAAAACATGCTACATCCTATTAAACACCCAACAAAAACAGTCAATAACATTTAGCAACTCAACTAAAATCCACTAATTAAGAAACAAAGGCACGTTTGCTTTTTTATGGCTTTGTGGATACCAAATTAGCTATTGAGCAATGGCCCCCTGCCCTGGAGTAAACTGAGTTTATATTTACCACAGACTGGAATTTTGTTCACTTAATGTGTGTGCCCTTTGACCTGATAGGTAAATCCACCCAGTCTGGATACTACTCACTTCCTTCTCATAATCCAGAATTAATATAAAGGTTGCCTAATTACTTTCCGAATCCACAGGCTCCTTAGTCAAAACAATTAGGAAGAAAGCACCTCATACATTTTATGCAGAGTCTTGTGTTGTTTAAAATGGACCAAACTCTTCTAATCTTCCTGCTCCCAGCAAATCTATGGGCTATTCTGGCTAAGCTGTAATATCATTTTATCACCAGATCAGCTCATTTGATTGTGTGCACAGCCTTCCTCCTCTGTTCCACCTCAAGACCTCAAGGCCTTAAGACCACACTCTTCCCTGCCCTGCCCCCAATTACTTGTCTCACATCTTGCCCGGTGAATGAGATCAGCAATTTTAGGTTCACATATTTTTCCATGCCTTTCTGGTTGGCCTAATAAAGGTGTCACCAAGTATGAATTCAATGTTGGTTTATGGCCAACATGGTTATTTCTGTTTTTATTTTCACTTTTAGCACTTCTCCTGATGCAGAATTAGAATTGTGAATTGCACTAACGCGCTTCCACCTATCAGGCAAGCACATAACAATTCCGATGTGGCATAGCGCCACCATATCTGCTCTCTTATTCCTGAAGAGAATGTCGTGTGAGCTCATGTAAGCCTGAACTAGGGTACTTCCCACACTAGACACGCCAGAATCTTCATTTAAACAAGGCCAAAGATACAGCTTCAGTTTTGCCTATTTTTAACTTCCTTACCTTGTTAGCATCTAATTTACATTTGTCGACTGGGTTAGAATCTTTAATAACTTCAACAACATCTTCGCCAAACCTTTCTCCATAAAATCCCTGAAAATGATAAATCATGACATGGTGAAGTAGAATTTGAAGCCAACATTTTAAATGAGAATTTGGCGCAAACATTTAGTGAGATCATATTAAAATTGAGTTGCCTACATATGCTCTGGCTTAGTGTATTCTTGGTCTCTCTCATTATTTTATAATCTGGACACTAATAAATACACATTATGCAGGAAGGAAGAAAAGAAGGAAGGAATTTATAAGGGGTTTAGTGTCTTAGGTTTTCCAAGTACCAAGCTTTATGCAGCCATCTACAAGCACAATGGGCTAGGGTGAACAGGAAGAGACTCTAAAAGGAGGAAGGAAACCTACCACTAAAGGCTGATGGTAACTAGAAATGCTTAGCAACCACACTAGCTGAGTGTCTTGTGGTAGATGTGTGAGGAGAGTGTCAGTCCAAAATCAGTAGGGAGGTAGGGAGTAGAAGGAATGTAATGGAATATCCTGAGAGAAAGCATGGTTGGCTTGGTGAACACTGATACCCTGCTTCCCCAAAAATAAGACCTAACCTGAAAATAAGCCCTGCCCCCAAAATAAGCCCCAGTTAAGTGAAACTCCGCCCTCCACCACTGTGCAGCAACCAGAAGAAGATAACATGGCTGTATTTGAATAAATATCGATTGTTGTACATAAAAAAACAAAACATCCCCTGAAAATAAGCCCTAGTGTGTTTTTGGAGCAAAAATTAATATAAGACCCTATCTTATTTTCGGGAAAACATGGTAGGAGAACTCTGCACAGCAACACAGCAGGTTTTTCCATGTTAAAGCACATTTTTGCCCTGAGGTTTTATGTAAACACCTCAATAAAAATTAATGTGTTAGATTTTTCTTCCAACAAATATAGGTTATGAAGTAACCCAACAACACACACAAAGTATTCCCTATCTAACAAACAGGAAGAATGGAATGCTGGGGCTGGGAGAGAGATTTTTTCCCCCATTGTTAATACTGGAAGGGGCAAAACAGATTTTGGCAAACATTTAAAATAAAAAGCAATGATCTTGTGCACAGACAGACAAAAAGTATAAATTTGCCTTAATACACACTGAGATTTGTTTTTACCTATGGTGTATGGCAGAAGTATGGCATTTAGTAAGCACAGTGCTTCATATTCTAAAATTTTCAAATTTTCGTTAAAAATAGCTTTCTAGTATTTAATGCAGGGAAGCTATAAGGACAATACATAGTGAGCTGAGAGTGTGAGAAAACAGGATCCCTAGCAGTGTAAGAAAATGCTCACTTCCTTTCAATGACTTTGTGAATCATGAAGAAAAGCATAATGAAGCACGTAAAAATTAACAATGACTGAAAAATGACCAAAGCACCAAAATTGATAATAGTTCTCTACAATTTGCTTATCTTGACAAACTGCACATGAATCTACACATAACTCACAGTACCTTTTTTTTTTAAAGAAGGCAAATGACTCCCATCTTCAACTGCTTTTCATGGATGGGAAATAATTTAGCCTCAAGGGTGTCCCTTCACAGTGTGGGTGAAGCAGTGCTTGGAAAAATCCCGCTTGCTAGTTGAGAGATTCCGGGCATTGTAGTCTAAAGAAGTATGTTCCTTAGCTCTGGAGAGGACCTGTTCTGTCTTTATTCCATCAGACCTGTCTGCGTTGTGTTTTTATGTATCTTCAACATTTATAGTCAAGCCTGTGGTTCTGATAAGCTCTGGAATCTTGGACACAATAAACTACCTGAGCTTATTTGACCAAGCATATGGGATCTCAAGGATCTGGCTTAACTCAAGTATAGGCAGGGCCCTTTTATACATCTCTGCAAGCCCATGTAACTGTAGGCCAGGGTGGGCAATTCTGACAGGCTGGGGACCAGAGTTTTGCTCCCACGTCTGACACAAGGCTGCCACAAACGTGGACAACCAAAGTAAAATTTATTTATTTATTTATTTAATTTATATCCCGCCTATCTAGTCAGCTCAGGACCATTCTAGGCGGCTAACAATACACAAGTATAAAACCAGAACTACCCAGACTGCCTTTTCCAGTCTTGATGGTTGGGTCTTCTTAGTCACCCATGAGCAAAAACTGCCACTCCTAAGAAGAGACAGGTATTAAAAAGACCCTTTAAAATCTTTTGTTATGGCTGTCCTGAGAGGGTTCCAGGATGCCGGGGTGGGGCTGCACTTTACCTATTCTTGCTGTAGGTCAATACTTCAACTTTGACGGTGTCACCTCACCTCTAATCGATGAGAAATTTCAGCCAGTTTTGTTATTGCAGGTTCCTTGTAAACAAACTCTTGTTCATCCAAGTCTCCAAACTTAGTCCCATAAAACCCAACACGGAAGTATGTACCAAACATCCGCTTACCATCCTAGGTGCATAAAGACAAAGAGCGCTTCAATACAGTTCCCCCATTAAGTTGTACTTTAAAAAAACAAAACAAAACCCACTTTGAAACACAATGCCATGCAAGAATAAATAAACCAATCAGAAAGACTAAAAGTTAATTAAAAACAAATTACACCACTAAAATGAAAAAGCAGAAATCAAACTATACACTTATGAAATTTATGGAACGGTTACCTTCAGTCATGCAGCGGGGGAAAAATTGAGTGGCTCAGCTCTGCATAGGAAAGACAACTTCTACTAGCCTGTATTTAAAATTTCAATGCTGACAATAGGTGAGGGGGCAAGCTTACAGAAAGGAGCTACTTTCTTTTCTGACATCAGGGGTTAGCTTGCATTTAATAGTGGCTAAGCTGGAGCAGTCTTGGGTTTCCAAATTTCCCAGCACTGCAGATTTGGTCTGTTCTCAAATGCTAAGGCATGTTTGTAAAGGCCAGGTATTTACTCGCCAGCTTACAGATGTGCAACATTGTACCATGAACTCTGCCAACCCCAGAGAAGAAAACTGAGGTAATGTGGCTGTGAAATAACTGCAACTCACTATTCTTTAGAAGTTCCGTTTTTTAAAAAATGGTTGACGTCTCCACTCAAAAGGCTGGAGAAGATGTATTGGTTGAATGAAAGCTGTTCCACACAACTACATCGTGCTGTATCATTGCTATATTACCCCCCTGGCCTATCTCATGATTTATTATCTGTGTATGGCCAAATTAACAATTGTTTAATATCATTTTATCCACTAGTAGAGGTGAAAACAAAGTAAAACCGGGTCTGAAGCTACCTTATTACAAAAGTTTCCTGTAGCTGCAGCCCCTCAAGTCATCTTGTGCTTGCAACCATAAAATGTCACTGCAAGTACAATTACTTGTACTTCCCAGTTATAAGGGTTTCCCCGAGCCTACAACGCAAAGGAGATTTGGTATCACAAGTCTCCATGCATTTGCATGGATTGTTCTCACATTCTGGGGTTTGGTTTTGGGGTTTTCCGTTGTTGTTGTTCTTATTTTTTTAATGCCAACCCACCCTTTCTAGTATGGAAGACACACTCCTACTTCTGCTTTCAGGGGATCTGGAAGTGATATGTCAACTGTCCACCAAGCATCTCCTTTAGTATGGGAGCTGACTTTGAAGGAACACAAATTAGATAAGATATTCTGAGCACATGGTTTTTGAGGAGAATCATCGTCTTAAACTCTCTTATGGTAGATACAGAGCTGCTCTTTTATTGGGCCCCACTTGGGTGTTTTCATTTGGACCAGAACTACATTGCACACACTGAACACATCAAACATTTATGCCAGAAAATCCTGGAAAACACACTTTTCATGGAAGACAAAATATAACTGAAAGACAGTAGCAAGTACTTTGAAATGAAAGCCACCAAACCTAAGAACTTTCTTCCCCAAAGCAAAAGAAAAAAAAATCACACTGCATGCAAAAATAGTTGAGGAAATGACTCCAAATGTTCACCTTTACTCTCATGGCACAGTCTACGTTCCAGCAATCAGTGCATCACTTTTTTTCCTTTTTATTTAATTTTTTTATCTGTTGAACTTTGCATCCCACCCTATCCTGATGCTTCTGGGCCAGTAACATGTTTCAAAAGATGTTTAACAGAAAACAGAAAAATAGAAGAGGTATAAAAGGGTTAAACCAAGCTACCAACTTGTTTCCAGTTTTAGCCTGAAGAGAAAGGGCATTGATTAAGAAGAACATTCAGGCTTGGATTGAAGGAAAATATCCATATTGTGGATCATCATATACATGACCTTGCAATTCAAACACAATTTGTTGGAGCCAGATTTGTGCTCAGTGAAGTTCTGCTGATGCTGGAAGAAATGGGCAGGGTGGCAATTTTGTCCAATTCCCCCTTTTCCCCCAAAGCCCCTAACACTACCTTCCCATTCTCCTCTATGAAATCTCCTCCAACACTCTAAAACAGTGCAGAGGTGATGATGGAGCTGAAGGAAGAACGACAGAAACTATTGCCTTGCAGTGGAAAACCTCTGCTGGATCTCAGTTTGCTCCACAAATGGAATGAACCTGAATAAGATGGGCATGACTGCATCTATGCTAAGGTATTAATGCTGCTGATCAGAAGAATGTTGCTACCTACACTGATGTTAAGGATGAGCACAAGGAAGATTCCAAAATATACACATTGTAAGCCATTTAGAGCATCTCAAATTGTTTAAGAAGTCAGTGTAGAGCCAGGAATGCCAACTGTCCATGCCCAGAATTAGACAAATTTCATTGGTAGTACTACAGATATGCAATGAAGAACACACTTCCATAGTCAATGTGCAAGAGTGCAAAGGCATGCATTATGGTTGCTGGATTATTAACTGAAGGAAAAGGTACATCGTTTCAGCAACCTATCAAATACCCATAGGTTCCAAGAACAGAGTAAATCCATAAGCTATAGAAAGTCAGGAGCTGTAATTTTCAGTAAGAATAGGAGTGGCCGGTCCTTCTAGGTCCTAGGCTCTACCAGCCAACGCCAACTTATTCTCAGTCACCTTGCCTAAACCCAGTCCCTAATGATGCCCAGGTAACTGTCAAACCAAGGATTGGCAGGATTCTGGTTAAGCAAAGAGAAACAAAATGTCAGTACATATTAAATCTGACATTGTTTTACACTGCTATTTCTCTACTCTTGGTTAGGCTGAGAAGCTGGGTGCTCTTCTATATTTTTATGAGAAAGTATGCTTGTATTGCTAGGTGATTCAAAATGAACAATGCCTCGATCAAAACATGTCCGGTATATGTCCCATATGAGAGGTTCCATGTTCATTTACTCTAGGGATGAATCGAGTTGCTTCTTTTTTAATTGTTGAGGTTATAAATCTATGTCATAAACGTTGAATTTCTTTTTATTTATACTACACCGTGGCGATTCTGTCTCACTCTTCTCCACTATTCTCTAAGGGTAGCAAGGGCTAACAAAAAAGGGTCTTCTGAATACCTTTCAGATCTTTCCATAAGTCACCTAGCCCTCATGATGAATAGTGCTAATTAAACTGTTAATGTAGTCTGAAAACCTCCAATAACAGATGAGCTACTCTGGATGTAAGCAAAGTCTCTGCTGTCGTAACAAATCCAAAATTGGAACAGGTTCATAAAACAGCCTAACTGAGCATGAAACTCCTATGTGCCAGTGCCTTGAGCAATTTAAGCAAATAGTGAAGACTGCTGGGAGTCAGGGTCTTAAACAGATGCCAAAATGCTGCAGAAAACGGCAGGCTTTCATTTTCCGCCTATGATCAGTACAGTGGGGTCTTGACTTAAGAACGGCCCGAGTTAAGAACATTTTGACTTAAGAACCACTCTCATAGGAAAATATTGACTTGACTTATATACTCAGATCTGAGTTAAGAACTGAAAAAAAAAACACGTGGGAGGCAGGGAAAGTGCAAAATGTGAACTTTCAGTTAACTGTTGGCCAGTGAAAAGGGTGCCTGTCTGCTTCCTCACTCCTCCCAGCATTTCGAGAGTGGATTGGGAGACAGTCTTCAGACTGCCTGGTACTGCCTGGACTGTATTATCCCTGCCTTCCCTGAACCTTTCTTGACCTAAGAAAAAAAGAAACAAAATATCCCCCTCTAGTGGCAGAAGGCGGAATAGCAGCTTCCCATTAGATTCTATGGACGGAAAAGAGCAGATACGGATCAAATGGTTTTCAATGCATTCCTATGGGAAATGCAGATTTGACCTGAGAACTTTTTGACTTGAGAACCGCCTTCCAATATGGATTAAGTTCTCAAGTCAAGACCCCACTGTATAACTAAGTAGCAACAAGTGCTCCACTCAGAGTAACATTTCACAAACTACTGTAGTGGTCCCCTCAAGGAAATTACAGTACAGTGGATGGTTTTCTTTATGTTAGAAGCAAGAGTCACTAAAAGGACCTGGGTGTCAGAACTAGCTTAGCAAGAGACTGACAGCATGACTAGCATAAGATAGGAAGGTAAGCTAAGACTGGTCTCCAACACTGTCATGGCAGTGATGGCACCATGCTAGAGGAAGAAGAGAAATAGCCATAAACTGCTGCCCCACCCTGCCAGCTCCCCTTCCCTTTCAGATTTGGGATGCTGAAATACATCATGACCTTCTCGGACTGCCAGCGCAGTGGAGTAGACAGGGTGTCTGACTGGGACTCAAGGAAGCTTCAGCTCATATCCCCTCTTGGCCATGAAAACTCACTGAGGGAGGAAGGTACTGACAAAAATATCCCTTAAATATCTCAGATATAATGGAAGCTCTACTAGAGTTGCCATCAGCCGGAACTGGTTTGATGGTACATAATGCACACACTTCCTTTGGGTGGGTGGACACTTTTACCACTTCCTCTGCTCTTTTAGGCCACTGATGCTTCTGTATCTTCCTTTTAGGGAAAGGGGCACCTGCAGCAACAGCTATAGCTACACTCATCTTTCTTTTCATTTTAGAAATGGCTGCCTCTGAAGGGCTACACAGAGCAACTGCAGCTCTCCAGAGCAGCGTATGGGCCCTGTTAGCAGGAGGCAGCCAATCTGCCTGCTGCCTCTCTCTACCCAGTGGCAAGACTGGTGACATCTACAGCTCTAACATTCTAACATGTTAATACTGTATTATGCTAACATTCATATTCATCTAATGGCTCACTTCAGTAAATGGGTCGGATATAAAATGTAATAAATAAACAGATTGCTGAGAGTTTTTTGCTTCTACAACTCCAATGAGCCCTAGCCAGTACAGTTAATGCTGAACGTGTTGATGGGAGCAGGAATCTAAAAACATTTGGAAGGCCAATACTGTCCACTCCTGCCCTATATCAATATAGAGAGAGACATTTTTATTCAAAGTTTTAGCAGTAGCACAAAACTAGTCCTATCAATGTTCTTCTTCCAATTTTTCCACTATATAATCTGATGAACAAGGGACATTCATTTCCCATGTTTATAGCAAATGCTTCTTGTTGTTTCC